CTCTAGCTACCCCAAGCTGGTCGTCGATGTTTCCTTTTGCGTCACTAGAACACCTTACGGCAGCAAAATCAGATCATAGTCCCATTCTTCTTCTCAATGAGCTAGAAGCTGGGAATCTGAGACTAGCTTTGAACAAACCCTTCTGTTATGAATGCATGTGGGAGCAAGAGGAAACTTTCGGCAACACAGTCGATCAGGCATGGCAGAGGGACCAACCGGCGATCACAGTGGCTGAACTGGCGGCAAAACTCACTCATGTCGCTAAGGCACTGAAGCACTGGGGGCGTACAACCTCTGGCTCAGTTCGCACGGAGCTCAGAGAGCTGCGTCAGCAGCTAGTTGCATTGAGAGCCGACCCTTTGAGAATTGGACCTGGGGCAGAAGAAAAAAGAGTTCAAGATCAGATTGTTGAGCTTTCTTAGAGAGAAGAGATCATGATGAGGCAACGGTCACGAATCAAGTGGTTAGCAGAGGGGGATAATAACACCCAGTATTTTCAGAAAAAGGCAAGTGCGAGGAGGGCAAAAAAACACAATCTCTGAACTGCAATGCCAAGATGGTACAATGTGCAACGACCCGAATGAGCTGGTTAGTATGGCTAGTAGTTTTTATGAAAATTTATACACATCACAGGGAACAATTGGGATGGAGGAGGTTCTCTCTCACATACCTCCCTGAGTTGATGCGAGTATGAATGCGTGTCTGAATGCTCCTTACACTAACAAGGAAGTTAAATACACTTTATTTCAAATGTTTCCAACAAAAGCACCAGGGCCGGACGGTTTCCCAACACACTTTTTTTAGAGGCATTGGGAGCTTTGTGGAGAAGAGGTCACATGTATGATCATTAGAGTGCTCAATGGAGATGACTCATCAGAGGATATAAACTGCACGTTCATCGTTCTTATTCCCAAGATAGCAAGTCCAAATTTTTTTGGACAGTTTCGGCCTATAAGTCTTTGTAATGTTGTCACAAAGATAGCTTCAAAAGTCTTAGCGAACAGGCTGAAAACCATTCTCCCTGAGGTAATTTCTGAGGAGCAGTCGGCGTTTATCCCTGGACGTCTAATCACAGATAATTTCATTACTGCGTATGAATGTTTGCAATACATGAAAAAAGGAGAGTTAAGGGAAACAGGTTCTGTGCACTTAAATTGGACATGATGAAGGCATATGATAGTCTGGAGCGGTCTTACATGAAGGAAGTGATGCTCAAATTGGGGATCAGTCCTCGTTTCACTAACACTGTTATGAGGTGCGTCTCATCTGTTTCTATTTCGGTTATTTTTAACGGTGGCAGCTTGGATGATTTCAGACCATCAAGAAGGTTACGACAGGGAAACCCGATATCTCCATACTTATTTTTGCTTGCAACAGAAGGTTTATCTTGTTTGCTCAAATCGCAAGAAAGAGGAGTTGGAGGCATTTCTGTTTCCCCCACGGCACCCTCCATCAATCACTTATTGTTTGCCGATGATAGCCTTTTGTTCTTTGATGCCACAAGTGTTACTGCAGGTAAAGTAAGGGACATTTTGAATATCTATTGCGATGCTTCTGGACAACGCATAAACACCAATAAGTCCTCCATCTATTTCAGTAAGGGGTTCTCCTGAGCAAGACAGAGATGTACTCAAAACCTTACTTGATGTGCACAATGAGGCTTTGTCGGAAAAATATTTGGGTCTACCTACTGACGTTGGGAAAGCAAAAGAGGGTTGTTTTCGGTACTTGAAGGACATAATTTGGAAACATATCCAGGGTTGGATGGAAAAATGCTTGTCGGCTAGAGGGAAAGAGGTTTTGATAAAGTCTGTTGCTCAGTCCATCCCAACTTACTCAATGGCATGTTTCAAACTACCGCGTGGACTGTGCGAACACATCAATGGGCTACTCCGGAAATTCTGGTGGGCTAGCAAAGGATGCCGGAGAAAGCCGGCATGGGTATCTTGGAGAATAATGTGTAAATCAAAGCATATGGGAGGAATGGGGTTTCGGGACATTGAAATTTTCAATCTTGCTTTGCTAGCAACGCAAGTATGGAGATTACTCCAAGAGCTGGACACCCTAAGTTCTAGGTTTTAAAGGCTCGATATTACCCCCATACTGATATTCTGCAAGTAACTTTAGGGGCTCATCCGTCCCAAGTTTTGCGGTCTCTGCTAGAAGGGAGAGATATTCTGGAGCTTGGAATCATAAGAAGAATCGGGACAGGTGACTAGACCCATATATTGCATGACAACTGGCTACCACGGGATTACACGCTAAGATCGATTTGCCCTATAACACCAAACCCACCACAATTGGTCTCGGAGCTGATTGATCCAGTTACGCGTTCATGGAACATGCAAGTGATTACTGAGCACTTTATTGCACCTGATGTGGATGTGATCCTAAATATTCCACTAAGCACAAGAGTGCAGCCTGATTTTTGGGCTTGGCACTATGAGAGGAGGGGCTCTTTCTCGGTGCGATCGACTTATAGGATGATAAGTGGCATCAAGCATCAGAGGGAAGATTGGTTGGAGCACAGGGTAGGTTGCTCGAATCTGGCACATGAGAAGAAGTCATGGTCGCTCTTATGGAAGACCAGGGTTCCGTCCAAGGTACGAGTTTTCGTCTGAAGACTTTCGCACATGTCCCTACCCACAGGCTCAACACGGCACGAACGGAAGATGGCAACTACTCCGGCGTGTTCCATATGTGGTGCGGAGAAGGACTCTTGGCGGCACTCTCTGTTTGAATGTCGGATGGCACGATGTGTGTGGGCCTTGGGAGATGAGGAAATCGTTGAGGTTCTGTTATCGAATGGGACGGAGGATGCGAGGCTGTGGCTTTTCTGGCTGTTTGAAACGATGAATCAACAGGGTTTAGCGAAAGTTCTCATATCAATGTGGGCTATTTGGTGGGCAAGGAGAAGGGCAATGCATGCTGATGAATATCAAAGCCCTCTGTCTACCATGTGCTTCATAAATCGCTATTTGGAGGATCTTGACATAGCTACTGTTGTGAAGCCAACCACCACCTCCCCAGAGGCGAGTTCACAAGTGGATTGCACCAGTGAAGATGCAGTTAGGATTAATGTCGACGGGGCCATCTCGCGCAATGGCAAGGCAGGAGCTGCCGCAGCGATCTGCATGGACAAGCATGGCAACTATCTGGGAGCATCAGCAGTCACCATCGAGGGGATGGTGGACGCAACTAGCCTTGAAGCACATGCCTGCAACGAGGCTCTTGCACTGACGAGAGACCTCAACGTCACACATGCGATCATAGCCTCGGACTGCATGCAAGTAGTGGCGGACATCAACAAGAGAACGCTATCTTCATACGCTTTGGTTATAGATGAAATAAAGCAGTCTATGCATGACTTTGTAAGGATTAGTTTTCGTTTTGAGTGTAGGGAAGCAAATTTGGAAGCTCACGCCATCGCTAAGGCGGCTTCGGCGTTTCCCTCTGGTCGCCGTTTGTGGCTAGGGATTTTGCCAGACATTGCTTGTATTGCTCCGGCTTTGAACCTTGAATAAATTCTCTAGTTCACCTAAAAAAAAACTAAGGGGTGCTCTGTTCCATTGGTCGGTATGATTTAGGGTGATTGTTGCACTTAATTCCAGACGAACATGGTACTCAATTACAGTACATGGACAATGATAGTAAGAAAACGAAGCATGATTGAACAGTTGCATTGCATCCTCATTTCAGAGCTCATCTCCTCCACATACACACACACCAAAAGGTGCCCCGTGAAGGCAACACATCTCGATTGCCTCAACCAGAGCTACTGCTAACTACATCACATACTTTCGCAGCCCGAAGGGACGCACAACTACATAAAAAAGAGAAGAAGAAAAGTGCATCTAATTAACACAACGATTACACAGGAGCAGGTATGCATATGAGATGACGAACACACGGCCTCAAATACACCAGCTAAGCTCCTCTGCTTCATCCGGTCGATTATTTCGTACCTTGGGCGTGCTGCTTCATCGGTCCAATGAACTGATCACCACCCTGCAAGCACACCGACCCAGAGTTAGAACGGAACCACCTACCACGGTGAACCGTCTGCCATATGTTCTTATCTTCTATTTTTCTGAATGATTGGTCAGACATAGTATCCAGTAGGTAGTATCTATGTATGGATCATCATGTGCAAGGAGCATGGAGTGAGAGCGAGGGCGACGTTTAAACGCACCAGTCGTACACGGTGGGGCTCCTGGGCCCGACGGTGGCCTCCGCCTGGACGACGTCGACGTTGGCCATATTGGATTTCGGGCGGAACGCCCTCCAGCCGTCCACCCTCGCCGTGCTACTGGTAGCTGCAGCATAAAGTTTCAGATAGAACATCAATTTAATGAGGGGAATTTCAGGTTCAACAGCAAATTTCCCGACATCTCTGCGTCTGGGTCTCTGGGACAGCTCACAGATCTGATTCTGTGGCTGCTTCGCGCCCCGGGGACAAGCCATGCTAAAGCAAAAGGTCCATGTTTTTCTTGCCCCATTTTCATGGGATACCAACGAATCGACACATCGCAGATCCAATCCAACAGAAGCGATCACGGTCGATCAACGCTACACAGAGTCACAAACCGGTCCTAATTAAAGAATGGAAATCACAGGGAGAGGCCAAGAAACAGAGGAGGAAACCCACCTGCTGCCAACGGAGAGTCCGGCCCACTGGCCGGTGATGACGGCACGGAGTTTGATTCGCCGGACGGGAGAGAGAGGGACGGTGGCCGGGCGATGGTGATGCTGCGGGTCACCGCCGGCGCGACGTCCGCGGCCGCCGGGGTGGAGGTCGAGAAGGAGGAGTACTTGCGGAGCCTGCCGAGGCCGTGGTCCGGCCGCGGGCCGGCGACCGTTTCGTCCCAGAGCTGGTCGAGGAGCCCCATGCCCCGTACAGCACGCAACCGGTTCCGTTCCGTCTACCTAGGCGTGTCGCCGTCGTCGCTCTTTCTTGGTTGGGAACCAGAGGGGCAGAGAGAGAAGAGCGCGAGACAGAGTGGCCTTCGGGGCTCCGAGAGGCCGCGGCCGAGAGGTTCTTTGTAGAGCAGCAGAGGTGGATGGGGAAGAATAATACAGGCGTGCGCTGATTTGCTTGGGGCGGGATTCGGATCTTCGCTGACGACGTGGAGTGTTGCCGCTCCTGGAACATGCATCCGGGCTGGATTGGTTTGCAGAGGGAAAACGAAAGGCTCTTCAAATGAGATGCCCAGAGTTGAAATCTTGCATCGTGGTGATGTTGATTTGTTTCTTTTAGGATAGGCTCGACCTTTAATTTCCACAGCTGAAATGGAGGACGATGCGGATAGTACCCAAGAAGAAACAAGTGAGAGCTCCGGTGTTGAGTCGCAATGGTCTTCGATGTTGCTCTAAGGGCATCTCCAATGGCGAGCTGTAAATTTCCTCTCGCATCTGCCTGCCGAGAGGCGGGACCAGTCCGTGTACATGAATGTCGGAGGCTGCCATCCAACCTTATCCGTATACATTTCAAACACTTTTGCAACAAAACATATAAAATTCATGCAAACATAGGCGGATTCCATATAAACATAACGGATTACATTACATTTACCTAAATTAAGCGGTGCTCATTCGGCTCTTGAGGTATAATTAATACCTTCCTCATGTCCGGCCCTGAGCCCCGAGAACTGAAGCTTCGCCTTCTCCATTTCCGCCTCGGCGCTCCAGCTTCGCCTCCGGAGAACCTGCAAGTGAAGCTGTCCGCCTCCACGTCTCCACCAAGCGACTAATCTGCCATCGATGCTTAGCCCACCAAGCTTGGCGTCGATGAGAGGGGAGGAGCAGTGGCCTACTTGGGACCTGAGCGGCGGCGACCTACCGTGCACTACTCTTCCTCGCTACCGGCGGTGCACAGGGACGTTATGGCTTCGTGGTCATGTTGGTAGGGCACGGCCTCGGCGGAGCCGGCGATGTCTTCCTTGTCGTCGGTCTCACCGAACACCGCCTCACCCACATCGTCGTCGCACTCTGGGTAGGCGGCCGCCAGTTTCGCCGCACGTTGGCGGTACCACCACAGGTGAGGCGGATCTCGCGAGCGGAGCGGTAGGAATCGGGCAACCCCGCCTGCTCCGCCCGGTGCGTGTCCAGTGCGCTTGCTTTGCCGGCGTAGAGCTACTCGTTCACCTGTAGGTGCTCCTAGAAGAGTTGGTGGTTGTATGCATCATCGGCCTATGCCTCCCAGAACTGCTCCTCCCTCTCCTCCTGCACCATGTCCATGTAATGGGCATGGGCCTCGACGATGGTCATAATGCAAAGCATCGCTGAGGGTGGCGTGGAGGAGGAGAAGGGTGGCATCATCATCATCGGCTTTGTCCACCATTGGGACGTCGTCGTCCTCCGGCTGCCTACCGGCCAGCCAGCCGGCAACAATGGGAACCAACTCCTTCTTCTGGTCCGGCGTCAGCCCGTCACCAAGGGCTGCGGAGAGGGATCGGAGATAGATGGCTGTGGCTATGCCTGGGGCAGCAATTTATATAGCAATGGTTGGCGACAGAGGGACAGACAGGTGGCACCGGAGTAGGGGACTCGGCAGCCGCGTGTCATTAATGTTGGCGACAAATGGAGGAACGAGCGGCTGTGGTGTCGTTTGAATGCGGAGTGGCCAGCTGCACCAGGAAGCACCACGGGTGTCACTCTCTCGGCCGCCGCGCTGCTTTAATGCCGACCAGTGAGCGGTCACGTCCGCTCTGGCGAGGCACTAACGCTCTGGAGTGACGCCGACGTTTCAGGCAGGAAGCGCGCACGGGAGGGAGGAGGAGGTTTGGGTGGGCCAGGGCTGTCAGAAGCGGGCATGGCAGCGGTCCGGACTCCCGCAGAGCCCCCCACCTTTTTTTTGGTTTGCGGGAGAAAACGCATCCGGACCGCCCTACCGACCGATACCGGCTCGTGTTGGATGGCTCCTGCCTCCGAACGGATGCAGGACGTTTGAGGGTCGACATTGGAGATGCTTAATAATCATGATAATGCAAAGATGACCCTAGACTGTTGGCTTCTCTAATATACTTTCTTTTAATGTGGTTGAAAAGGAGAATGTTGAATATTTTCCGATGAGTTTTGATGTAATTATTGACTGTTTATGGTGATGCTCAGTGCCCATCCCATAGGGAAATCATAATTCTGGGTTGAACTGGTGCATCTCATAAATACCTTACAAGCACCCAGTTTATTGTTGGAGATTTTAACATGACAAGGAGGTCATCTAATAAGAAAAAAACCTGGCGGGTACAACAAGTGGAGCATCCTTTTCAAATCAAGTACTGCTACGGATGTCTTGATGGAAATCGCTATTAGGGCAACTCCAACCAATCATCTATAATTTAGTGGAGGATACGGCCAAGTATCTTTAGTGGAGGATAGTTTTTCTCCGTCAACGGTGGCCGTTGTTCCCCTATATTTAGAGCAGGATACATTTTTGGCTCAATTCATTTAGCCTAGCCATATAGATTTCAAACAATTGCACGCTATTTAATCAATCATTTAAGCGACTCAAATTCAACATGCACAAACCAAAAACGCATGTATAGTTGCCAATTCGAATTAAACCTTGCAAATAGTTCATTCAAAAGGCACCACATTGATCAAGTTTGATCCAAAATCACCACAAAATAGCATTTTTTATGTGGACATCAATACCATTGTTACACCCACAGCCCCTGTTGCTATACATACTAGGCCAATTACTAGAGCTCGCGCACGCCAATTGAATTACCAGGTACTTTTGTTTCTTGGTAACGATTCTAATGTTTATGAGAATATGATGCTGCCTTAATTGGACATATTTGTTTTGCTTACAAATGAAGGGACTAGCTTGAACAAGAAAGATGAACCTTGGAGCATGTTCAAGCATGGAGATGATGGCATGCGCAAGGGAAACAAGAACGGAGTTACAAGTGATAATTTCAGGACTTTGAAGCCACCATAATGAGTGCATGAAGCCTTGGACAAAATATACAAGATGCCACTTCATAAATTTCGTCCAGAGTCTATTCTAGGTGTTGCATCACCTTATTATTGGGCTAGGCCCGTGTAATTTCAAAATACTTTAGTATAGGCTGTTTTTAGAATCCGTATGTGTGGGGAAACAAGAGTTAGGGTTGGTTTGAGACCCCTCCTCCAAGGGCCACAAAATTTCCCCCTCTTCCTCCATATATACAGCCCTTAGGGCATCATTTAGACTTTGAGTTTTATTTAGATTAAAAGTTCGCCGTAGCTTCAACTTCGCGTACTTCATTTGTGTTCAACAACCAGACCAAGATGTCATAGAACCCCACTGAGGGAGTCCTGGATTAGGGGGTGTCCGGATGGCCGGACTAAGACCTTTGGCCGGACTCCCGGACTATGAAGATACAAGATTGAAGACTCTGTCCCGTGTCCGGATGAGACTTTCCTTGGCGTGGAAGGCAAGCTTGGCGATACGATATGAAGATCTCCTCCTATTGTAACCGACTCTGTGTAACCCTAGCCCTTTTCGGTGTCTATATAAACCGGAGAGTTTTAGTCCGCAGGAGGAACAACAATCATACCATAGGCTAGATTCTAGGGTTTAGCCACTCCGATCTCGTGGTAGATCTACTCTTGTACTACCCATATCATCAATATTAATCAAGCAGGAGTAGGGTTTTACCTCCATCGAGAGGGCCCAAACCTGGGTAAAAACATCATGTCCCTTGTCTCCTGTTACCATCTGCCTAGACGCACAGTTCGGGACCCCCTACCCGAGATCCGCCGGTTTTGACACCGACATTGGTGCTTTCATTGAGAGTTCCTCTGTGTCGTCGCCTTTAGGCCCGATGGCTTCTTCGCTCGTCAATTACGACGCGGTCCGGGATGAGATCTTTCTCCCCGGACAGATCTTCGTATTCTGCGGCTTCGCACCGCGGGCCGACTCGTTTGGCCATATGGAGCAGATCGACTGCTACGCCCCTGGCCATCAGGTCAAGTTTGAAAGCTTAAATTACACGGCCGACATCCGCGGGGACTTGATCCTCGACGGATTCGGGCCACAACCGGGCGCGCCGCACTGTCTCGATGGGCATGATCTAGCTCTGCCGCCGGACAGTGACCAGAGCGCCACTCAGGTGTTCACTCCGACCATTAGTTCGGAGCCGACTGTGCTAGCCAGGGATGGACGGTTGGCCGCCGCCCCCGGAGCCGCAATCCCTGCGGCGATAGAGCCGAATACCTGCCAAGTCCTTTGCAAGGCCGGTAACTCCAAGGTGCCGGACTCCGTTCCGGACTCTGAATATTCTGCACCCCTCTCGATCGAACCCGATCGGGCTCCGATCATGGAGTTCACCGCCGCGGATGTCTTTCAGCACTCGCCCTTTGGCGATATCCTGAATTTGTTAAACTCTCTCTCTTTGTCAGGAGAGCCCGAGCCGGACTACGGCCAACACGGTTGGGACGCGGACGACGAAGAAATTCATAGCCCACCCACCACCCACTTCGTAGCCACTGTCGACGATTTAACCGACATGCTCGACTTCGACTCCGAAGACATCGACGACATGGACGCCGATGAAGGAGACGATCAAGAACCAGCACCTATAGGGCTCTAGAAAACCACCTCATCATACGATGTCTGCATGGTGGGCACACACAACAGAAACGACAACGAGGACCAAAAGGATGCGGCCAGGGATCGCTCCCCCGAAAAACAATCAAAGCGGCGGCGTAAGCGCAAGGCCAAGCCCCACCTCGACAAAAACCCAGCCATAGAGCAGGGTGACTCAACGGACGATGAACATGCCATCGAGCATCCGTCCAAGCAGGGCGGACAATCCGAACAACCAATCCCCGGGAAGGATAATAGCCCGGACGACCTCACACCAGACAAATTGCTGGAACATCAGAACCTCCACCAAAGGCT